CCCCAAAACCCCAAAACCCCAAAACCCCAAAACCCCAAAACCCCGGAATCTGTCACAAATGTTGAGGATGAAACTTTATTAAATATTGGATAATAGGCAACGATAGGAGAAATAAACCCAATAAGAAAAACATAATAATTTTGGCGTAGTTTTAAGAATCATTTAGTAATCTTCAGGATGGAAAACAGGCTGGGCAGTGTCCATGTTAATTCCACAGATTCCCTTGCCAGATCTTCTCTTAATTCTGAAGTATCCATCTTCTCCCCAATTTGCACCCCATGAGTTTCTGACGATCCAGGCATCGGTCTCAGCTTCATATCCAACAAGAGTAACTCCGTGATCGAGTTCAGTTCCGCAGTCTTCACCATCGATGACTCCTCCTCTGTATCCTCTCATGTACTTGTTTTCAGCTTGGATGGCAACAGAGACGATACCGTGGCTCAAGGCTTCATAAAGATCGTCTTCATTATCTTCAACTCTGAAAGCATATGGAATAGTCGGGAAGTCTGATTTAGCCTGGCTTCTCTTACATTCTCCTAATGGAAGAATGTACTCATAATCTTTTTCAAGAACAGGTCCGTGCTGGGTGTAGAATAGGAAACCATTAATCATGAATCCTCCCATACATCCACCAGAGAACTTATCGCATTCAGCAAGATGTGCTTCAGAGAATTTTACGACCTCTCCAAATTCTTGTGCGTAGGCACCTTCCAAAGCAGCAACAGTTGAGAAGGCCCAGCAAGATCCGCAGCTTCCTTGGTCTTGAACTTCCTCCAAAAGATGTCTGTGGTCAATGCTGACGAGATCCTTCTTTCCAGTGGCCTTAAAAGCCTTCAAGCTGGGGTTGTTTCCAGAAGCAGATTTTAAGGAATGGCTAACTTTTTTGTATCCAAGAATAGCCTTGTATTCTTCATCAGTCCAGTCGGTGAACTTGTTAACTCCCAAAGTAAAGGATTTTCCTTGGGCATTGTGCTCATTAATAATCTCCAAGTTTTTATTGAAGATGTCTCTTCTAAACTGGTATTCGTCTTCAGTATGGTAACTCTTATCATAAGTAGTCATATAGTTGGTGAACTGTGCATCCAACTGGTCATTTGAACTTTGGAACATTCCCATCAAAGAGACAGAGATGACTCCCAAAGCAATCAGAACAGGTAAGACCTTCATTTTATAAAAAAAATACTATATAACTTTTCCATAATTTGCTTTATAAAGGGGTTTTGGGGTTTTGGGGTTTTGGGGTTTTGGGG